ATTAAACTGAATAAGTGACCCTTCTTTGCTTCGCTTCCTCTTGTATGATTGGTTAAGAATCAAGGTAAAATGATCTAAATACATGTTTAATTTGATGCTTATGCATGTGACTGCTTGATAAATGTTAGGTGCGATGCATGCTCGATGGGTAGCTTATTGAAAATTGATTAGAACTGAGTTAGAGATTAATTGATATTGATCATCATTATGTGAATACAAATGGTGGCCAATTGTCATTAACCATTAATCAGTCTACATTTGTTGATTGTTTCATTTGGGTAATTGCATGTGAATTAATGAACGAGAAATGACACCACCAACGATGGCCATGCAAGGCGCTCCATGGAGGATGGCGGCCAAGGCTTAGGAAGTTGGTGGCAAAATGTCGTTGTCCTATCTGGTCTCAAATTTGTAATAGCTAGTTTAGAACTAATAAACAAGATTAGCTTAGGTCTTAAATAAAAATTGTTTTAGTTAGAAAGACCACTCAAAATCCAAAAAGAATCAATTGGAGTCTTTAGCATAGCTTAGGCCACACACCCAATAATTAATAAGGAGTATAAAACCATTAGTGACTCAAATTGGTGTCTAACAACTACTTTCGATCTGGAGAAGTTCAGAGTAATTTTTCCTCTTTTGTGAAATCAAATCAGAGAGTCAGACACCCTACAGAAGCAGAAGGCTCTATGTCTGGAAAACTTCTGCTTTGCCCACAGATTGCAGATTGGTCAAGCAGATATCTTTATTGTGGCAAGAGAAGTTGGTCCAACGGCTCCTTTGGCCTTGAAAAAGGCTCCAATTGTTAGTTTGAAGATTGAAGGCAGATATAAACAGATGAAAGGTGGTTGAGGACTTTGGCGGAAAACAGAGCTTCTGTTTTATCTCTGTTGATCATACTGTCAAGCTTTCTACCGTGAAAAACAGCTTGTTTTTTTTATTGTTATTCTCGGTGAAGGTTGAATTTCTTGTAATCTGAAAAGAGAGTGGATTATATAGTGTTAAGATGCTCGTCTTTGTTGAGTTATCTACTGAGCTTCGTACAGAAACAACACTATCTATGTACTTTAATATCTTTGAGATTACTAATGAATTACAGCCTCATTGATAGTCGCTAGTCTAGGAAAGTGGATGCAGAGTAAGTGAAAGTCCGAATCACTATGTCTTGCAATATCTTTTATCTCTTTTACTCTTTTATTAACTGGTTGATCGAAGCAATTACATTGGCATAAATGTTTTTCATCATACAAAAGCGCATTTGCAACTCTTTCATGAAAAAAGTTCTAATTTTTTTAGGACAACCAATTCAACCCCCTCTTGATAGTCATGTGAGCCATATTTTGGTATTTTTGGCATTAGAGCTTGGTCGCCCAATTTTTTAAAGTTTTATATTTTAAGAGCATAAAATATTAGAGCTTGGTATTTAAAGTGTTAGATGGAGTCAGATAGATGAACATGAACATCCGACAAGGCAACTACGAGATGCACAAGATGAAAACATCACCCAAATGTGCACGAGCTATAGATATATCGTCAATGGTCTTGCCAGTCAAGGATGACCTACAGCAACTAGGAAATTGTGAACACGGGTCATGGGTTTTCTCAATGAGCTAAAGGCAATGGTGGAATCACCCTAAGAGACTGCAAAAATAGTGCTCACCAACCAACCATCATTATGATACCAATTGTTGTTAAGATTACGCTGGAGCTAACACGTCTTGCAATTTTATATGAGAACGAAATCACCAGAAAAATCAACAAGGAACAATAAAGACAATATAGATTTTACGTGGTTCGGTCCAAATTCGATCTGAGTATCGATATCTACTCCATGGGGAAAGCTACCCACAAAGAAAGCCACTATGAATCCGGATAACTACAGAGTTACAATCATTCAATCATTCAAGTGTTTCCAGCTCTAAATTACACTCATAGCAAATGCACAAGTGTTATATAACAATTTTTCACAAAGAACTCATTTAAAAAACTTAAAAGAGAGTCCTGACACTCCTCTTACTCGCTTTAACGGATAACTTTAATAAAATAGGTCAAAAAAGCTTTCTAACGCCCACGTTTTCGAGGTCAGTAAGATATCTGAAAGTTCGCTCTGAATGGATTGGGCACCCGCTCGACATATGAAATGGAGAGGCAAAACCAGGACTCCTGCCAATCGCCTGCCCGCCTGCTGCCTAGTAGCTACAAGCTACCGGGCGCATCAGACAGGGTGCCCGGGCAAGCTACCACCTCACACCAAGGGGCACCTCCAAACACATCTCGGACCTATCTTAATCTCCAGGTTCGACAAAAACTCCAATTTTGGCAAGAAATGTGAGAGACAAATTCAACAACACATGCTTATTCCACTCTTAAATCATTAACAATCTAACAAATACCATCAAAAGGTTATTATCCCCAAGATTGTGTGAGCATGAACAACAATCATAACCTAACTCCCTTCCTTAGGACAGATCAATTTTAACCTGACAATCGAGTTTATAAATTATGAAACGGGCCAAGCAGAGAACTTCAATCAAGCCGAAAGCAGAAAGGAAAGAAGAATTGCAACGAGCTGCGTAGAACTCCAAATAATCGAACCCCTTTGGTTCGAGAACACTCGAAGCTAAACAAGGAGAGAAGTTTTTAGTGCTCCTAAAGAACAATCCACCCGCTTACCAAGGAGAAATTGTTTAGTAGTTTAAAATGACCATATTCTAGATACAACATGTTGGGTGGATAACGTTTTTTTTCGGTGAAGAGCAGTGAAATTCAGGATATTTAGTGTTTGTTTATTGGTCTGGTGGAAATATGACATAGTTCTCTTGGGCCACCTAAAAATCTCTCTTAAACATTTCATCCAAACGGGTAAGTTACCAGCTTAAGCGGCATATAAACTTAGGCTCCGTTCGTTTTGCGAAAAATGTGATGTTTTCTAGGATGTTATTTTCTAGGAAAATAACAATATTTTTCGGTATTCAGTTGAAACCTGAAAATCAACTGTAAAATATTTTCTGCCGTTCGGTATACAATTTGTTCTTCTAGGGAAAATTACCAAAAAATTCGAAATTTTTATTTATTTATTTTTCTTTCCCTTTTTTCCTTTTCTTTCTTTTTTTTTTCTTCTTCCTTGGCCGGTCGCCGCCATGACAGCGGATAGCGGTCAGCGATCGACCACAGGCGAGCTCGAACCTCGCCTGATCTGGCCAGGCCGCCAGACATCGGGGAGGCTCTAGCGACCTCAAGCTCATCTGTGACCGGTCGTCAACCGCCGCCATGGCGGCGACCAGCGAAGGAAGAAAAAAAAATGAAAAGGTAAATAAAAAGGAAGAAGAAAAAAGAAAAAATAATTAAAAATTGATTTTTGAAAAATAAAAAATAAAAGGAAAATGTGCTATATGAAAGAAAGTGAGTTGAAAGAAAATGTTTTCCGCTTTCTGAAAAGCCCACTTTCTGAAAAGCGGAAAACATTTTCCTTACTTTTGAATGTGTTTTTTCCATTAGTGGAAAATGTTTTCCATGACTAGTTTATTTTTTGTTAAACAAACGCCAGAAAATCTGGAAAATATTTTCTTGGAAGTTGTTTTCCGTGAAACGAACGGAGCCTTATTGTCGAACAGATTAGTTTGAATTGCCAGTAAATTCTCATGCATTCGTCTAGTGATCTTTCCGGAAATAACTATCATTGGATTGGTAAGCTTCCTTGGGCAGCACGAGGGACATAGCATGTATGAGATTGCAATCTAAGTAGAAATCACAATTTCTTACAAGCCCAATTGCCTAATATCGCTCATTCAGACAGCAGTAGATAGAATAAAAATCTTTGCACTGAAATCTTATTGCCCTCTCTAATGCATAGTTATGAATAATCAACAAAGTGCAAGCCATGAGCAGCATTGATTAAATCGAAGCCATGTGCTTAGCCCATTCATTAGCAGCCCATCGTTTTTAGCCGGTGGCCCATAACATCCCACTAGATTCAAATTACTCAAGAGACCTAATTTGGATTTTGGTGCTGGGAGGGACAACAGACAGGACAACAAGTAACAATCATAAGCACGACATTTTCTTTTAACCTTTTTTAATGTTTTTCTTTTCTTATTTTGAGTGAAAATTAAGGGGAAAATGATGTGAAATTGTCAATTGTGTAGTAGCAGAACCTTTCTCACAGTCTAACGTCTCTTTCCCTGTAAGAGCCGCGGGGACAATGCTTTGAAAAGATACATGTTCGAAATAAACCTCATCAAGGGCAGAGCAGCCCGCCAACCCCGTTAGGAATCAAACCAGGCGAAGGAGAAAGTTTGGGGAAAGTAGTCTACATGTAAAAGATGACCCGTCCATAATTTGGCCGAGCAAACATGTTGCATCCGCTTACTGATCAAATAGATATAATCACACGCCTTGCAGCCCGCTAAACTCGCCCTAGGCCCGCTAAACTCGGTTGGCCCAAAGTGCGAAATGGACGCGTCTAGGAAAGTCATTTCCGACCTTTCGATGTAGGTCCGGATAAAATTCATATAAAAAGTTAAAATTCTCTTAATTATGCTTGGTTCACATGCACTAGCTGCTGAAAATTGGATGTATCTCAGATATACGACTGAAATTTACTCAGCTATATGACGCAAAGTCTCTCAAAATCACAACAAAACGCTTCTGAGATAGATTTCGACTACCCAACTTGTTTCATGGTGACAATGCATGATCTGAAGGGGTTAACTGATTTATCAATCTAATTAATTGAAAGGATCCCAATCTTTTCGATTAACGTGATAAAAAGCATACACGTGTTGATCACATGCCCACGAGGAAAAATATCTAGATGAAGGGCATATGTTTGTTTCAGTTTTAACTAAAATAAAAAAAATACTATTTTTCCTCTTCTGTAACAAGTTAAAAAATTGTTCAATTAGATTATATTATGAAAAAATTTGGGCGAAAACTTGTGTGCCAACATGTACATTTTATAAAAGTTTCAAGTATTTCAAATTTCACAAAACGTCAAAATAAGATTTTGAGTAAATAAAAAGTAAAAAGTAAAATTCAATATAGACAGACTGAATTACAGCCACATATTATGATATTTTTGTTGTTTCTTGACCTATGCAAGGAAACACACTTTTGAATTACTGACAGCACTCAAAACTTAGTACTTTATATATAGATGATACTTCGATTTACATTAGGACATGCTACATAATATCGAAAGAGATAGAGCCATAGTAATTATTAATTTTTTAATCTATAGTTTATAATAAGTAGTGGCATATGGTGCTCGGTTCTTCTTGGCAAGTCATTTGGGTTTCATCAGTTGGGAATGAGCTTGAAGGGGGGCCTGACAAGAGCCGGCGCTGGATCGTACCTTCCATAGTCCTTGGTGTTCGCTCTAAGAAGCCTTCCATGGATGATGTTGGTCTCTGTTAAATCGTCTCCCGCTGTTGTTGAAGATGATGATGTTGTTTCTTTCCATGGTTCCTGCGGATAACCAATCAAAGCTGTGAGAGAAGTTCTAGAGTTGTCGTAAATTGAGAGACATCTTGTGTACAACTCTGCATGCATGTGTGCTAATTCCATATTTGACTCGCGGAATCAGCGGCCTGCGACTAGAATGATAAACAGGCATTTTTTTGTGTATATGTGAGATTCACATTTTATTGTGTTTAGTCGCCATGATTAGCACAGTTGGTTGAGGCTTGGCCGAATACCTGAGCATAATCGATTCATGCAAACCGTATGTTGCAGGATCATCAGAGGTCTCATATTCAAGCCCCACCAACTGCATACAAACTGTTATGAGTTGGGATCACTTGCATAGACCAAAGACTTGAACTTAACTAAATCATCGGAATTGTGGAGTTTTCCATTAGCTTCCAAATAGCCGGACCTTTGCATCCATACCGGTGGATTGTTATCAAATTATGGTGTTTTTCTCATGGGAACCACGTCTTTTTAGGACTAATTTTCTTTATTTTTTCTCGTCGTCAAGACCGACCAACATGAAAATGAGCTCCCTTTCCTCCACTTTTAACCGCCCTACAATCTTAGGGCGCGCATGGTAACATTTCTATTCCAGAAATCAATTTCTGGCCAGAAATAGATTTTTGTATTTTTATTTCGTGGACGAGTTTCTGAGCAAAAATGTGTGTTTGATAACGACACAAAATTTCTGTTTCCGAAATAGAAATTCGTTTGATAACAATACAAATTTCTATTTTTCGGAACAAAAATCTATTCTTTTAGAAATGGAATAAAAAAATTAGAAAATCTAGAAAATTCCTAAAAATCTAAAAAAAATTCAGAAAATCCATAAAAATTGAAAAATTCCACAAAAATTCATAAAAATTTCCAAAAAATAAAAAAAGTCAGATTTTAGGAAAATAGGAAATTTGTTGAATTTTTTTCAAAAAAAATCAAAAATTTCAAAACTTCATAGAATGGCTTAGAATACCTGTGACTACTCACTTTGAGTTAAATTTAAATTTTTTGAGGTGCCCAAAAAAATAAAAAATTTCCTATTTTCCCGAAATCTGACTTTTTTTATTTTTTGGAAATTTTTATGAATTTTTCTAAAAATTTTCAATTTTTATGGATTTTCCGGAATTTGTTTTGGGAGGTGGCCGGCCGACGGTGGCGGGAGGCGGCCAGTGGCCGGCGGCCGGCGGTGGCAGGAGGAGGCCGGTGGCAATAGCGAGCGGCGGCGGGGGTGGCCGGCTAGTAGCGAGGGCGAGCGATGAGAAGAGTTGCCAATTTCTAATTTCTGTTTCAGAAATAGAAAAGTAGATTTTTTTAACTTCTGATTTCTGTTTCAAACCTATTTCTGGAATAGAAATTTGTTTCAGAAATAGAAAAATGAAATTGCGTTACCAAACGGATTTCTGTTCCAAACCTATTTCTAGGAACAGAAAAATAGAAATTATCACTATTTGGCAAGTTATCATGTGCGCCCTCAGTGACAACAATGATCAATGAAATGTTATCCTACAATCGAGTCTTCAGTGACACAAAATTCTTTCGCTAATTGGGGGTTGCAGTGACCAAAAGAAAAGAGTGCAGGAAAAACGAAGAATCAAATTTCAAGGTATTCCTTAGGAAAACCAGAAAATAACTATAAGTAAATTAAACAAAAGATAATGAGCACAAACCTCTTGATCAATCTTTTCACTCACATCCGCCTCCTTAGCCAACTTGTCCATGGACTTGAAGGGTCGACCTGCCAACAACACACACCATGCTTCATACACATTCAGCATCATACACTAATTTGATGTACATTCTGAAGTCTACTGCATTATGAGACATACTCTTTACTCTCTCGTGATTCCTCGGGATAGACCAATGAGATTATACAATCATATATAGAGTTCTGATGATAATGCGAAAAACAAAAAAAGCTGCAATTCCCACAGGATGATAAAAAGACCCACCTGCATGACAGGACGTGAAAAGTGATGCTGAGAAGAGGAGGAGGACGAAGAAGAAGAGACTGATTTTGATCTTCAGAAGCGTGACACCCATTCTCATGATCACCTTTCTTCTTTCCAAACTTAGTTCTTGGGCTATGAGAGAGAGAGAGAGAGAGAGAGAGAGAGAGAGAGAGAGAGAGAGAGAGAGAGAGAGAGAGAGAGAAGCTAAAGCATGTAATGCTTCTGCATTAGCAAAAGGAGACCATTAAAGTGTTTCTACCAAATTAAGCACATTAAAGTTGGTTGGATTGGCTATGTATGGATAAACAGGAAACTTTTAATACTATCTGGCGTGGAGAGCGCAAATTTATTTTTTCTTTCCTCCCTTATATGAGGTTTACAATTCAAAATCAAAAGGTGAAGCGCACCTTCTTTTCTCTTGTAGGGCATTATAAGTCTATGAAATTAGTGGATTGATGATTTCGAGTTAAATTAGTGATAAAGCATTGAGCGTGACCTCCAGTGGAAATTATCAAGGTAGCCCCCATGTTCGGACTAAACTTTTGCCCCTCACTTTAATGACGTGACGTTTAATCTTTAAATTTGGAGAGTTCCACTTCTAGGCATAGCCATTTTCAGGAAGTTTATTGCATATAGAAACTCTTGGGAGCATTAAATTTCCGGGCATAGAGACCGCTCTTTCCACATTACTACGTCACATGTGTTTCTATTTGCTCTCCTTTTCTCTAGCTATTCTGGTTAGAGGTGACAAATGGGAAGATCGAATTGGTTTCGGGTCGGGTTGTTTTATATTCGTATAGTTTTCTGGTTGGAGTCAGTTTTTGGGTTCTCCTCAGCTCAGAAACAGCCTTCACTTTCTTAGACTGGTTGGCTCCTGTTTAGATAATGCTCGATCAGTTATGGGCTTGCTCGAGTTTCAGACAGTTTCGATTTAAACCAGGTTTCTTGGGTTCAGTTTACTCGGGATTCCAGTTGATATCACATTCGCATCAGCTCAAGTTCGGTGAACCAATTTCAGATTACTTGGTATTCGGGCTTCCGTGGAAGCGTGTTGTTTGCATTCAGTTTAGATTGGGTTCGGATTATCGGCTTTTATAACCACCTTGGATTGGATCGTCGGTCGGTTTAGGGATGAGTTTGGGTGGATTCCTCATGCACTCAAGAAATTTTGCTACCTTTAATTCTTGTTCTTGCTATGAGTCATGGTAATAGATGAAGCAGCTATTGTTGAGCATGAAATTTGTGGAGTAAATATCATTATTAGATAGGTCCATTGCAGTTACCTTTAGAGAAAGCAATTGATAACAAGAGTGACATTTTGGCATATCTAAAAGGAATTCGTTGTTTGAATTGTTAATGATTGAAAGTAGAAATTCATGAATCTCCCCAGAAAAGATATTAGTTATAGTCATATGATTCGAATCATATCAAAACACCAAAAAATGGTAATGATGAAAGCTCTAGTCTGCTTGGTGCTGGATAAAAGGGCAGAATTGTACTTATCGTACTTGATGATGTGTGTTTCATAGGCTAAAATGTGATGCAGGTGAGAGGTCAAAGGACGTGATTTCTGATTAACATAATATCTGTGTCGTTTAGTTGTGCTGGAGAGGCAATAAAATACAAATAAAAGTGAAAAGATAAAGTAAAGATGGTCTAAAAATTGCTTTTGTGGATGGCTAGTGCTCCCAATTATCCAAAACGACAAGTCGAAAGGACACTGGTGGAGAATAAAGAGAAGCATCTGGGGTCATTATATAATGAGAACGACCAAGATAATATTATCTGAGATGGGTCTTCTTCTTTATGGAAGTGGTGTTAGCTAAGCACCAGTCTCCCTTCTTTTTCAAGTAGACAATGGCTTTCGCTTTTGCTTGTATTATTGGGCTGTCTCTTCATAGCGTTGAAAGCTTGTGTTCCTTTCCACAAGATTTGAAGGGTTAGTAGGTCCTTAAGAGTTACACATTGGTATCATGCTTGTGTAGGAGGTTGCGTTGGGTTCTCTTCGAAATCTGGAAGGGGCTAAGAGGTCTGAGCAAGAAATGATGCTAAATGACATGTCGGGAATGCTGGGTCGACTTCTAAATCGTCGATGCGAAGAGATAGATTGAGAGGCCATCGCCAAATGGTCACGTGTCCCGTGAGGTTATGAACTGATATCGATTTTATTTAAAAATATTATTATTAATCAGAGGAGAATCTCCCTCGCGAACTTTATTCCATATCTCAGATTTAGTGAATAAAAACTCTCTAAAACATATGATCCCACTCCCTTACGAACTTGATTCAAATATCGAAACAAATGAAGGAGATTATCCAGAAGAAATTGGGTTTAAGCATTATAATGTCAGATACAAGTCTGAATTTCTACGATGCTCAACTTAGTATGGATGTAAAAGCTGGATTCCGTTTTTACATATTTTAGCATACAATTGTATAATTTGAAGAATATTGACACATGTAATTGCTATGAGCTACAGATTTTCATAATTGCAATATGATAGACTATGCATAGACTTGATCAATAAACTCAGTATCGATTCAGTGAATAAGATAGCAAATCGACGTGCAAAAAACTGACATTTTTTTATGAGCCTTGCATTGAATAGTATGAGAAGATTCAAATTGAAAGATTGATAGAAGATAATTCACTACTCCACCGCGGTCACTCCCCTTTTCATCTCCATCATCCTATCCACCGCATCTTCGACCTCCTCAACAACTCACTACCACCTCTGCTGGCACCACCATCCATCTACGATATTGCTTCCACTGTCACTGCCACCTCCAGTTGAGATCGTGTTCACTATCACTGCAACCTACCCTCACTCCATCTTAATCATCACCCACCACCACTCCCATAGTACTATAATATCTAGCACTACCACCTTCAGTCAATAGAAAATATACTCTCAATAAAGTTTTGAATGGTAAAGATTCAACTCTCCAAGACATGGTTGTCAAAAGCTAAAAGAACATTAGATGTTCAAGCATTGACTCACAAGTTTGAAATCAATGAGGGGTCCCCCTCTCTCACTCTCTCTCTCTCTCAAAAACACACACAAACACACGCACCCATGTGTGGTAATCCAAAAAATGTATCAGTTCTGGTCCTAATGGTAATACAGGGAAGAATCCTAACAGCTAAAGATACTGATGAGGAAAATGCCGGGGAAAACAAATGAAAAAGAAATGGGATAAAGAAGTGGAATATGAACTTCAAGGGTTTAATAAATGAATAAGACAACTGAAATTTTACACATCATTTGTGGAGTCCTCTATGAGAATCCTACTGGGTGCAATCCCTCAGCGCTGGTGAATTTACAGTTCCAGAGAGATTAATCTGATGCGCGAATAAAGATACAAAATGCCGTTTGACTGTTGGTAAAGAAAAACAGTGAAGCAGCAGCAGCATAATATACCGAAAGCATTCAAGTTGCAGAATCCACTAAAACAGGATGCGACAGCATTCGATGCCATGCAATTTCTCTTTTGCTCTTTTCTTCTTTCTTGTCTAAACCTTGTATATTTGCCCTTCTTTTTCCGAGCCTAAACCATAGCTTCACATAATCATCTCGAATATCATACCAAACCTTCAAATCTTCAGATTGCTTTAAAAATTAAAGGCCTAGCATGGCTTCTGTTGCAAGCAACCTAGGAATAAAATCTAAGAAAGAACTTTTATTCCCCCATTGATGATGGAAAACACGGTTCGAAGCCCACTACCTACCACCAATCACTTATTCCTCAATTCCCACAATTGACTGAGACAACCAACTTAATTAAGATATCGCGAACTCTTAGCAACAATAGTCCAATACTGATCTCCAATATCCAGTCACAAAACTAAGATACCACTGGCCCTGCATCTGATTGAACAGTCACCATTACAGAGAAATTATGACCAGCACCAAACAATTTTAAGTAAACGTCATGGAAAAATCATAAGAACTGGTGCGCTTAGAAGTCAAGAGACATGCTGCCATCACTTTTTCATGAAAAGTAATAATAACTGCCAAGCTACAATTATGTTCAATAGAAAAGACTAGCTTTGAACACACTACTTATGCTAAATTCCAATCATGTCAGAAGGCCATGCTTGAAAAAAATACAATGACCAGAAGGCTTAAAGATTGTCCACTACAAGAGAGAAGTTAAATACATACAAGAAAGATGCTGGGTAAAAAGAACATTATGATTTTGAAGCTTCGTCTGCTTTGATGTCACCCTCATGTCGCAGGCTGTTCTCTCTACTGTAAGCAGACTTAGCACCCTGAGAAGTAAGGGACAAATTTAACCATACATCGAGCCCGAAAAATGTCTTCTTGTAATCAAGTGCACAGTTTTTCCCAAAGTAAATAACACTCACTTGAAAGATTGTCCCGAGCTTCTTCAAAGCTTTAGCACGAAGCTTGAGAACATCCCTGGAAGTATTAGGGTCTTTAAGAACCTGAAACAACAAAATGAACTATTAGATTATTGTCCTTTTAAATGATACTTGTTTGAGTCAGCTTATGTCATCCTACTGTTTATCAATACTGGAAAGTCATTGAAATTTCAAGTCTACTTTTGTCCAATCACGCCCTAGAGAAAGCATGTGACATGTAAGAACACACCCCTCATTCCACCATCACCATGCAAGCATTCTGTCTGAGTCAGAACCACAACTTTTAATAAACATTGCAACTGACGTCTAGCTTGGTTCAAATATATCAAAAACAAAATTATGCAAACTATCGAACATATAAAACAAATTGGCGGGAAATAGGAAGGAAACAATTTGAAATTTCAACAGTGGTCCCTCCTCCACTCACTCAGTGGTCACCGAGGTACAGAGGGATGATCCACCTAAGCATACTATGACCTTTTGTTAATATGTAAAATTCAGGTTCTTAAAATTTAGTTTTCTTGAGCAATGCAAGTTTGAAGTCAAAAAGTTCCAGCTTTTCACATATCTTCAGCCATGATTGGCTGGCCAAGGATGGTGTCACAAGCTTATATAGTTTGGAGTTACTAAAGATCTAGTACTCACTACTTGGCAGACATGCGATAATGTTGACTCTATATCAACCACATTAATTTGCCAGAGTGAATTAAGCATGGCATCCTTCTTGTCTTCAAGAGTTTTTAGAATAATCTCTTCTTTGTTTTCTTCTTCATTCAACTGTTTCAGCTCATCCTGTATTTGAATCAAAGACACAGCACCTGCACATTCAAGAAGACATGAGTTTGTTGACTGCAGTAGAAGATCTACAAGAAGTAAAGGACCATAAGGCTCGGAGATCATATCAGCATGCATCATTTCCCAAGATTGAGAGAGAAAATACCAGAAGCTGCCATCACTTGCGATTTTATTTGGTGCCCCTTATCTCGAACCCATTCTGCTAGAAAGGGGACCTTCATATATCGTTTATCCTTTCCAAGTTCTCTTGCAGCTTTTCGCGTGTAAACATAACCAATAGTATGAAGCATGGCTTCTCCAAAAGCTGTGGATGACAACAGTCAACGTCAATGCAAATATCATCAGTGAATTAAAACTAAAGAGAGCCCTCAATTGGGCTGAACAATTTCTCCTGATTCGATCATCAAAAGAAGAATGTACAGAGAGAGAGAGAGAGAGAGAGAGAGAGAGAGAGAGAGAGAGAGAGAGAGAACTGGTGCGACACAACAAATTTCTCAAAATAGTTTAGCCAAACAGAGGTGAAAAGAGAATTGCCAATCAACACCCCAAACAGAGGTGAAAAGAGAATTGCCAATCAACACCCAACCACTTTAGACTGTTTCTTTTATTTTTTGCTTGGCTTGTGATTATCCCCATTCTTCAACTAGCCATTAATTTACCTAGGAATGTTGAAGAGAGATGTGTTCTGTCCCATGAAAATAAACAAAGCAACATGCATCCTACTGGAGCTGCATCAGGAAAAAGATACTGAGGTATGTTGCTGTTTGGAATCATATCAAGTTCGTCCTCCAGCTATTTACATGTGTAAAAGATACTATCCAATGGAATCTTCAGGAGTCTCCACTTTATTATGGACTTGTTCTAGTTCCAGTAATAGGAAAAAAATTGTTGCTTCTCACGAGTTAAACCTCAAACTACTGATACATGACGAAATTCAAATGACACACTGAACCTGATCACTCTTTGACCTTCTCACTAAACAAGATAGATCTATATTCGAGTATCCGAGAACTTTCGCTGTTCTGGTAAAACATGGACTCGAACTATCACATATTTACATCTGCCAGCTTGACACCATTTCGAGCAAATCCACTTTGAAGAGCAAATACAAACGTGCATATATTAGCCAGTCAATGTTGGAAGGGTAGTGCTTAATTAAAAGAATTTATTTTACATATGGCATTTACCGTAGCCAGATGTTGGCTAAACAGAGAGGCCAACGGAATAGATATTACACAATCTTCCTAGAAAGTTAAATTCCAGTGCTTGATCTAGTCTGTTTAATTTGCCTTTGCTCTTTCTCAGAGTGGAGGTTAGATCCCGTGACAATGTATAAGAGATGATTTTGAATAGGTAGATGGTATCTGATGTCTTAAATTTTGAAATGACATTTCAGTGTTGCCCAATGCATTGTGAAACTCTTCTGCACACAATCATTATCAGATAATTACATGATGATTTATTGGTTATAGCTCAGCCTTTGGTCTATGCATTTTGTTCAAAAATTGGATAAAGTGATCCATGCAAGTATGCAACCAAAACCTCCCTCATGAGAGGTGATTCGATATATAAGCACACCCAAGAAGAAGAAGAGTTACCTGCTTTAGAGAGGCGTCTTGCTTCTGAATTTGCCCATTTCACAAACTCTTCTGTTTGACCTTCAACGAAAGGCTGAAGGCGATCCTTTAAAATATTTGTAAGTTTTTCTTCCCTTTCGTTTTGCAGCACCTGCACCATAGAAATGGAGAAATACGTCAAATAACTTGCATATACTACAAGTACAGCGGGTGGGTGGGGTTTTGGAAGCATTAAAATATATATCAATGCAGTTTATCAGAGGAAGTGTTTATGTAGCAAAGATAGTACCTTAATTTTTTCCCGAACTTTCTGCTCACGGACTTCCGGATCCTGGGAATCTTCTTCAACTTCAACCCCAGCTAAAGAAGCCAATGCAAGTTGCCCAACATAATCTTCAAATAGGTCACTCCCAAAAAGCATCCCAAACACAGCTGAGGGGTCCACCATAGCGTCCCTGACAAACATAATATAGTTAAGAAATCTAACATTTGTTTTTGCTTTTTCTTTTTTTCCTTCTGAGAAATAAACGAGAAAGATATCAGAAGGAATCATGAAATTCCCTCTTCAAATGATCTGGCATAAATGGACATGGACATCAAATGAATCTAGAGAAAAAGTCAATATTAAAAGGAATGAAAACACTTACTCATCAGAGATTATCCAAACATGTAAAAAATTATTTAACTTATTGTATCAGCTGTCAATTTTTTGAGGCTAGTACTCAAAAGAGCTAGGAGGCAAGCAATTTCAGCACTTTTAAACCCAAAATAACCAAGAGCTAAGAAATACAGCAAACCTATTTGTGACCACTATTTAATGGACACTTGCAGTTCATTGAATTTATTTGTATACCCAAAGAAAACCGCTATCTCTGAAAATGCCAAATAGAATAATTGAGTTTAGCTATTTAATGGACTTCAGAATGTACTTCTTTATCCAATGAAAAGCATGCGCAAGAAAATGAGGTGTTAAGAAAATTAAGTGCACTCTGAAGGTTGCTCAGGTGAAGAACTTACTGAGTAACTCCTGCCTTTCCATGCTTGTCATATGCCTCACGCTTCTCAGGATCACTCAGGACTTGATAGGCCTCCCCAAGCATCTTCACAAACGTCGAAGGCACAATGAATAAAACCAAATATATTTTCTTTTCAAAAAAGGTTAAGGCTAGATAATACACTGATCTCAGAAAAAGCTTCTGAGCTACATGACATGTGAAAATCTGTTGAGCTGAAAGCACAAAATCATATTCACGAGTAACATTCCTTTTCAATCTGACCCCACTAAGATACTGATTGATTTTCAGATTATTCTACTTTGTAAACCGACTTTTCCCTTTGACACTACTTGTTTGGGAACTCCAAACATTCAACAAGTCAATTGAAGAGATTGTCATCAAAGAAAAGCCGAAGTAACCCATCGTCAATGTAAGTTGTAGTTTTGCATGCAAACTCATGGTGCTATACTTGTTCAGGAAAACACAAGAGACAATCAAACTGACCTGGAAATTCTCTGCTGCTTTTGGATCTCCAGGATTCTTATCTGGATGAACCAGCCGAGCCTGAAACACGACACATAAACTAAATTCAAGTAAAGAAAATTGACAATTTCATCAAATTCACACAAATTTATTCCCAACCCTAGCCGTAGGTACAACCAACCAATTCTGATTTCACTTAAAGCAGCATTTCTTTCTTCTTCGCCCAATCACATTGGAAAGTCCATTACCTTCCATTTGAAGCTCATTCTCACCCAAAAAGGAAGAAAAAACAACCAGACACGCAGATGATCAATCACCTTGAGGTAATAAGCCTTCTTAATATCAGCCGCCGAAGCATCCACGCTCACGCCGAGGACGTCGTAATACGCCATGTCCTTCACCATCTCCCCTCTCCCTACCCAGAAAACAAAAACACGCACAAGCATCAGCGAAACCCATCAAGAAGAAGATGAACCTCGTGATCGCAGATCTCTCAGCCAAATCAGCCCACTCCACCCCTCACCCACATTTCCTCCCAGTACACGAAAGAAGCAAGAAATCCTCCCCATACCCATTTCAGTTCCACCCACATACACGCACGCACACGCAAACATACAGTGAAAAACGAAAAGACAACCCCGAAACACAGAAGCTCCGAAGGGAGAGGCTTACCAGGTTGAAGCCGAAAACGCGCAGAAACACGAACGGATCGAAGAAGAAGAAGAACGAACCGGATCGATCGAGGGGCAACAGAGCTCGGGTACGGAGCAGATCCTGATGTGATTCGAAGAGTGCGGTGGAAATCAATGATGAAGCACTAAATATGCAGGCGATGTGGAAGGTGATCGTTGGTCGGAAAAGAATATGGCAAGAGAGGATCGAAACGACGACGCGGCTAAGGAAAATAGAAGGGACGCGAAGAAGGATCCTGCGAATGCTGCTGCTGCGGCGTCGTTTTGTACAGCTGGTTAGGGAGGGTTTTTTTTTTTTTTTTGTTTTTTTTGGTCAGAAAGGGAGGGTTGACCAGCGTCCATGTGAAAGATTCCATTCTTCTGGTTCTGCGGAGATGTCCGCCCGACGACGAAATAGTTTCCTTTTGGGATGATTGCACAGACAATTAACTTTGGTTTGATATTATGACATCCTGAAATCCGCCTACCCGATTAGTAGTGTTAAGAAAATTGAAATTGATGATAATAATGATTTATTTAAATAATTATCGAAACATTTGTGGAATTTCGATAATATGCAATTGGCATGTATTTGATCTAAAAATTTTGGAAATTCATTGGACAAGTGGTAGACTTCATTTTCGGTCATATATACTTAATATACATGCACTACAAAAAAACAAGAGTTTTCCAACGAAAAATTCGTCAAAATTCGTTGGAAAACGAATTTCCAACGAATTTTGCGACGAAAAAAAATTCGTTGGTAATTAGTCGTCGCAAAATTTTCCGACAAAAAATTTAAATTTTCGTTGGAAAAATTTCGTTGGAAAAATTCGTTGGAAATATTCGTGGGAAAAATTCGTTGGAAAATTCGTTGGTAATTTCCAACGAAATTAGTGACGAAAAAAAATTTACATTTTCGTTGGTAATTTCCGACGAAAATTAATTCGTGGCAAATTTCGTCGCTAAATATCGTTGGAAAAATTCGTTGCAAAATATTCGTTGCAAAAATCGTCGGAAATCCGCTAAATTTTCCGACAAAAAAATACAATTCTCGTTGGTAATTTCCGACGAAAAACAAGTTCGTTGGAAATCCCGAATTTTTCGGAAAACAATTTTTTTTTTTTACTTTCCAACGAAAAAAAGATTCGTTGGAAATCGCGAATTTTTGCGAAAAATAATTTTCGGTGATAATTTCCAACGAAAAAAAAAATTCGTTGGAAATTCCGCATTTTTCCGACAAAAAAATTTCGTTGGTAATTTCCGACGAAAAAAAATTCGTTGGAAATCCCTCATATTTCGGCCAAGAAATTACAATTTTCGTTTTTAATTTCCAACGAAAAAAAAAATTCGTTGGAAAACCCGAATTTTTCCGACAAAAAAAATTTTCGTTGGTAATTTCCGACGAAAAAAATTCGTTGGAAATTCCGAATATTTCAGACAAAAAATTTTCGTTGTTAATTTCCGACGAATAAAAAAATTCGTTGGAAATCCCCCATTTTTCCGACAAAATCTTTTCGTTGGTAATTTCCGACGAAAAAAAATTCGTTGGAAATCCCTCATATTGCGGACAAGAAATTACAATTTTCGTTTTTAATTTCCAACAAAAAAAAATTCGTTGGAAAACCGAATTTTTCCGACAAAAAATTTTCGTTGGTAATTTCCGACGAAAAAATATTCGTTGGTAATTTCCGACGAAAAAATATTCGTTGGAAATCCCGAATATTTCCCACACGAAATTACAATTTTCGTTTTAAATTTCCAACGAAAAAAAAATTCGTTGGAAATTGCGAACTTTTCCGACAAACAATTTTCGTTGGTAATTTCCGACAAAAATAAAATTCGTTGGAAATCCCGAATATTTCCCACACGAAATTACAATTTTCGTTTTGAATTTCCAACGAAAAAAAAATTCGTTGGAAATTGCGAACTTTTCCGACAAACAATTTTCGTTGGTAATTTCCGACGAAAAAAAAATTCGTTGGAAATCAGGAATTTTTTTCACAAACAATTTTCGTGTTAATTTCCAACGAAAAAAAAAATCGTTGGAAATCTCGAATTTTTCCGACAAACAAATTTTCGTTGGTAATTTCCGACAAAAATAAAATTCGTTGGAAATCCCGAATATTTCCCACACGAAATTACAATTTTCGTTTTGAATTTCCAACGAAAAAACAATTCGTTGGAAATTGCGAACTTTTCCGACAAACAATTTTCGTTGGTAATTTCCGACGAAAAAAAAATTCGTTGGAAATCGGGAATATTTCTCACAAACAATTTTCGTGTTAATTTCCAACGAAAAAAAAATTCGTTGGAAATCTCGAATTTTTCCGACAAACGAATTTTCGTTGGTAATTTCCGACAAAAATAAAATTCGTTGGAAATCCCGAATATTTCCCACAATAAATTACAATTTTCGTTGTTAATTTCCGACGAAAAAAAAAATTCGTTGGAAATGTGGGATTTTTCCGACAAACATTTTTCGTTGTTAATTTCCAACGAAAAAAAAATTCGTTGGAAATTTCGAATATTTCTCACACGAAATTACAATTTTCGTTTTTAATTTCCAACGAAAAAAAAATTCGTTGGAAATTGCGAACTTTTCCGACAAATAATTTTCGTTGGTAATTTCCGACGAAAAAAAATTCGTTGGAAATCGGGAATTTTTCTCACAAACAATTTTCGTGTTAATTTCCAACGAAAAAAAAATTCGTTGGAAATCTCGAATTTTTCCGACAAACGAATTTTCGTTGGTAATTTCCGACAAAAATAAAATTCGTTGGAAATCCCGAATATTTCCCACAATAAATTACAATTTTCGTTGTTAATTTCCGACGAAAAAAAAAATTCGTTGGAAATGTGGGATTTTTCCGACAAAAATTTTTCGTTGTTAATTTCCAATGAAAAAAAAATTCGTTGGAAATCGCAATTTTTTCCGACAAAAAATAGCAAGTTTCGTTGGTAATTTCCGACGAAAATTTAATTCGTTGGAAAAATAATATATAAATTTTTTTTTTCCAACGAAAAATAATATATAAATTCATCCTTATTCGTTGCAAAAAACCGTGGAAAATCCGCGAAATTTTCATTCAAAAAGTTAAAATTTTCGTTGGTAATTTCCAACGAAAACAATATTTGTGGGAAAATACGTTGCAAAATTTGACACTAATTATTCGATGCAAAAATCGTTGGAAATTCGATTTTTTTCCATCAAAAAAATTCAAATTTCGTTGGTAATTTACAACGAAAGCTATTCGTGACAAAATTCGTCGCTAAGTTTGCGACGAATTTTATTTAGCGATAATTTCGATTTTAAATCTAATTATTATCAATATTAATTTTTTTTTGGTAAGAAAGCAATAGTAATTTCTACAATGCATAAGTTGCAAAGTCTCATATGATGATATTCGATTTTCAATCTCATAATACGAAGAGGCAGCTAAGCACTAATGAACATAAGGTAATACATTCAAAACATTGAAAGAACGCGGGACAACCATAAAAACGTTGGCAGTTTTGGTACTCGAGAATGTACTAGGAAGGACTGACAATAAAATCATCAGCATCATCATCATCATCATCACCATCACCATTCGCCGCATCATTTTGTGGCTCAGCATTATGCCCATCATCAATTGGATTAATATGAGGTAGAGGAGGAACCTCATTGCGATCGATGTCGAGATGTCGCATGACAATTTGCAGTTGTTGTTGCATCACCCTTATTTGTTCGTCCTTCTGTCCAAGTAAATACTTCGTTTCTTCGTCCTTCTGTACAAGCAACTGCTTCAGTTGGCTCAATTCTTGGGTTATATGCTCCTCACGTTGTGTCCTCCTTGAAACAGCTGCATTGGAGGACGAAGTTGCACCAACCTTCGATTTGTACATCCTCGACAAGGATCTCATCCCAAATATTTTTCCTCCTTTCATCCCACCCGCTGCCTCCACCCATAATGCCATACTGTCAACCGATGGCTCAGACACAGCACGACCATCACCACCATCACCACCACCATCACCACCATCACCACCACCACCACCACCACCATCACCACCATCACCACCAGCAATGCTCATTAAAAGTTCATCATATTTTTCCTATATTAACATTATAGATGGAAATAAAATAAATTCATATATATTACCATAAATATTAAAACATTCATGATTTTCATTCTAGTTTCCTCTAAGTCCGAACTATAACCTTACATACCTTAGTAGCTTTTGCTCGAGCGCCAGTCCATGTCTTATCTTTTTTTTGGAATGTGCGTTCAAATGTAGCTGTAAAAGTGGGTTCCGTCCCCAATTCATCTGCCTACAAAATATAAACATAAATGACTAATCATTACATTAAATGCACTGACATGTATAAACAGACTTACCATTCTTCTTTTATGCTCCCCGATGCTGATAGAGCCCCCAGCATATGTGGCAGACGCAGACCCGTCACTAGAACTAGAAGCTCGATTCTTCTTGTTCTGTTCACACCTTAGCTTATACTTCTCAGTTTCCCAAGTTCTTGTAATTTCCGTCCAATTGTCAGTTGTAAAAAAGGTCGGCTTTTCATTTTTTCTCTTTGCTCTATTTATCACATATCGCATGTGATCACCGATTTTCTTCTTGAAAATTCTTTTAACCTCATCCTCTTCCATTTCATCCCACGTGAACTTACGCTACAATTAATAGAAAAACAACTGAAAATTATCCACTAGGGTCACATGTCACATATCCATTACAATGTACCAGACAATTCGTGACAAAATTCATTATTGATCATCAATATGCTACACCGAACTTAGTTTGTGAAGGAAGACAACACTAACCTTAAACTCATTCCACCACAAAGTCTTTAGTTCTGCGGGAGCGCTGCTAAAAGTAATAAACTGGCCCATCCAACATTTATTGACTATTTTATTCAGTTCCCTCACAACATGCGTAGAATCCGTGAATCTGAAAACATGTTATAACAATACGGACAATGAGACAATGAAGCATATGGATAATTCGCAACACGAACAATTTTATTTACATCGATAATTTATATATACGTAAAAAATGAAGTACTTACGAATCTCCACATGGGCATATAATGAATCGGGTATCTTCTTCATCATTCGAGTGTTGCAATCAAGAAGAAAGTGGAACCGAAGGAGATCG